GGATTCATTGCCACCTGCGATGACAAGACGCTGGAGGGCTCCCAAGGCTCGGATCAGCCATCCGCGTCTTGGAGAAATCCCATTGACATCACCAAACCACAAGGCTGGAGCGTGCATCGTTTTGGAGGCCACCAGAAGCCAACGTGCCCTGGAGCAGAATTCATCCTGTGCACTCGCTTCATGGTGGCTCGCACATGCAGCACGTGGCTTTTCTGAACACCCTGCAAGTGCCACGTCGTTTCTCACCGGCGAGGCACCCACCCTGCACCCCGGGATCGAACTGAAGGGAGGACAAAGGGGACTTTGGGGCCAAGTGCTGGCCCCGTTCTGCATATGGGGCCAATTCACCTCCCTGGTGAGACAACCAAGTTGCAACTCAGGCTCGGTCCAGCTTCTGGACAAGCCTTTCCCGGTCAAAGAAAGGTGGAACGGCCACAGCTGCTTAATACTGATACTGCCCATACCAAATTATAGGTGCTTCTGCAAGGACATAGGGCACTTGGTGGTCAACACGAATGGAGAAAAATGAATAGCCTCACCAGATCCTATCCTACTCCTAAAGAGGAGTATGGATGTCCAGAAGGTTAGCATCCCATAGGGAGGGAAAAAGCGATGTTCCCGTAATCCCCTTGAAGAGACACTGGCTACTCCAAAAACATAGTGGTGAATAGGCTACAGATGCACATGGAGAGATAAGCCTTGCCTTGGACAGCTTTGACTCAACGTTGACCCCGCAGACCGAACGCGGGAGGAAAAAACGGAGGGGGACAGATTGCCTTGGCTCTGCAACTGCACCCAGATTTCCCACCGCTGTCCCCATACCTTGCAGGATACCCCACCCTACAACAGCCCAGGAGCCGGCTACAGCCCTGGAGGCCTTGCTGCGGGTGTGGTTGGTAGGGCTGGCTCCAAGGACGAGAGGCCTACATGCCAGCACGGTGGGAGGTGGCCTCCGCAGCCACCCACTGCTTGGATGACACTGCAGCTTTCCGGTGGTCTCTCGCACAGAGCTGCCAAAGAGAAATGTGTCCCTCCGCTCCACCTCGTGTGGAAAGTGCCGTGCATCTCTGCACCCCGGGATGCGTCGCTGCAAAACAAAACCAGGCGCGGGATTCCTCCGCAAGGAAGAAAAACGGAGCAGCCCAAACCGCTTTTCAACTGACTGTGAAGTCGGCCCTTGGGTGGTTCTGCTTACAGAGCCTCAGCCAAGCAGCTAATCTCATTAGGGCTAACGAAACGCAGATCCCAGGCTTTCGTTCTGCTGCTCCCAAGTCACGTCGGGAGCCTAAAAACCATCCATCTTCTAGGAGGTGGATGGATCTGTTTTCTCTGAATTGCACGAGGCTTCCTGGAAATGGAGTGCTTTTGTAGACCGGAAGAGATTTCCCAGGCGATAGTCTTCTTTTAAATCAAATGCCTATGGATTGTACAGAGGGCCAGTGCAAAAAGCCGCGTCTTTGTGTTTCGGGGGCGGGGAGGGGAAGCTGTGTCGCATTAAAGGCAAGATCTCTCACACGACCAACCTTCCTAGTTGTCATCGACTGGAAAACACTTTTGTAGATTAGAGATCCCTACTGGGGGTGGGAAGCTGCCTGGATTATCTTTATTCTCTATCTCACCAGGTGGAGTTGGTAAGATAATGGGCGCATCTACACGAGACGTTTGCTGAGGAGCGGCCTAATTAGCTCTTCAGTGAAGTCTCAGCGACAATATGGGAGGCTGTATTAGGCCACCGGGAAATAATTAGTGCCACCCTAGGTTAGTGCTTGTGCACACAAGTACTATCCTATGGGGGCATGCTTGAGTGTGCAGCAATGCACGTGTAGACGCTGATGGGGTTGGCTAGGACATGGGCGTGCTTTAGTGCGGGGGCTGCCCGCCGGCTAGCCCGGCACTAAAGCACCCTCATGCCACAGCCAGCCTCTCTGCGGCACATTGATCCAGGGCAGAGTAACGCCCCTCGGGGCTCCCTGCCAGCCAGGGCTGCTCCGACCCAGCCCAACATGCAGTTTCAGGTGCATGTGAAGACGCTGCGCCCAGGAGCAATCAACTCTGGCATGGTATGCGCTGGAGTTTTTTGCGCTGTATTAATTGCATGCGTAGACGTGCCCAATAACCCTTGCGTGTGTGTGGCCCTTCCTCCTCTCCTCCACTTGTATCTTTTCTGATGGTGATGCAAACAGCAGCCCTACCTGAAATTCATACTCCAGCAGCCCATAAGAGTATGTCTTAAGGCTGGAAATCAATAAGAAGGCCTCTTGGAAGTGAACCTTAATGAGGCACTAGAAAAGCAAGTTGCTTTCCATTATAATTTACCATCGAGCCAAGTGCATCAGGAGCTCGTCCCACTCCTTTGGAAACCAATGGGCGAATTCTTTACGTTGTCTTTTCAGACCTATAGGCAAGGCCCACAGGAATGAAGCCCAATGGTTTCGTTCCTGTGCTCCGTAGGACTTTATATTCCATGTGGTGCATCTGCACACCCTGACAGCTAAGCAAAGAGTAGGAGCGAATACATGTATATCCTCTCTGGACAGAGCGCTTCCAATGAACCCTTTCACGCTTTCTGAATTGCCTGTTGCACATGACACAAGACTCAGATTTTTGCTGCCTTCATGAGGAAGACCTGATCCAAAGCTGGATGAATTTAATGACGGGTTGGGCCTTATCAATACACTTCTCTCCACCAAGTACTTTTTCTAAAATAAAATGTCATCCCAACTGGCGTGTGTCCTACAGACAGTTTTGATTGCGACAACACAGCATCTTCCAATTGACAATGGTCCCATTAGGAATTGCCGACTGGGTCCCAGGGTCAACGCGTCTCATCCCACATCCCACACAGCTGGACTTCCTAAACCTCTGGAGCCTGGAAGCTGCAATGGGAGAGGAGCTGGGGGTGGGGAGGAGTTTGGAAATGCCTGTTTATCCTCTCCCTTGGCACCTCTTCTCTGACACTGTGCAAGACTTACGGACGGGTCCAGCATATGGTGTTTTTTTATATTTTTGAAGAGCTGCCCTCTGTTGCATGCATGGCAGAGGCAGCTCTGGAAACACTGGCAAACATTAGCTCTCCGGAGCCTTTCCCTGCAGAGTACCTACATCTACACTGCAGAGTGCAACGGTGGCAGGTGTAGATCGATCCAAACTTGCTATAATCTAGCTCAGGAACTGGAAGAGGCAAAGCAAAGCAACACATGGGCTGTGCAAGCCTTCCATGGATGTACTGGAGGCCCTTGCTCACATGGAGGCTGGGCTACCAGGGCTACCATGCTATTGCTACCCAAGCCAGGTAGCTTACAGCCAACATGGGTATGTCTTCGTGTGCTGCAATCACGCCTCTGACTGCATTGCAAGCATAACCTTAGTCTGTCCAGGAGGGAGGCAGTGGCAATCTGGACAATGCTCCTACATGGGGCCATACCCAGTGGTCTCCAGGCATTGCTGCAGGTCTTCAGGGTGGTCAGGAAAGACTCACTCCTGAAAAGGCATTGCCCTTATTGCTACCATGCTGCACATCATCCAGGACACCAAAGCCTCCTAACCATTCCCCAACCGCCTTTGCCTGGAAACATAATCATGGCAACGAGTACCTGGGTAACAACCAGGATCCTCCTTCCTCTGCCCCCTGGGATCTACACAGCAGCAATAGGGTGAAGCAAAGACCCTGCCCAAGGGGTATGAATACCTTCTCCCCAGGGAGGCAGGCATCCAGGTTGTAGCTGTATTGGTCTAGAGGAAAAGGCAATCAGAAATAATGGACTTTCATTTCTACCCAGGGGAACTTTTACAATCTTTTCTCTGATGCTTGTTTGTGCAAAAAAAATTAAATTTTTTTTTTGCAATAATCTCGTTGGTCTAAATAACAGACATCATCTCTACTATGAGTCCCGATTTCCTTATCCCCATGCAGGCCTTTGGAAATCTGAACCAGGTCAGGAACAGGACAGACAAGGCAGCAGGATCCCTTCCAAATGCAGAGCAACCCGGAGCCCTGAAGAAGCTAGCACTGTACATAGAGAAGGGCACATGCTTGGCCCTTATCCCAGCCTTCAGCCTCCAGAGCAGCCTTTAAATATAGCTTTCGGTCCCTGCATGGTGGAGGAGAGGATAACACGGAGAGTGCAGGGGTCTTGGGAGTACTGTGCAATGGGATGTCCCTATGCAATGTGCAGTGCCATGCTCTCTGAGTAGGGAGCACAGAAATCTCTAGCCCAAGCATGCCAGCTGCGCCACGGGAAACTGCAATGCAGGTTTCCCAGTCAAAAATACAGCCAAGCCCAGGCACGGGTGCTGTTCAGTGAGGTGCTGATTGGGGAGGGGAAGGAGGAAGCAGGCAGGATGCGGCATGGGGGTGCAAAGGTGCAGCCCCAAAGGGAAAGCAGCAGCTGGGAGTTTCCATCTGTGCACTACCAGCTTTGTTATGGGGCTCGGATGGACACAGAGACACGCACCCCAGCTGCCAACCTCTGGTGCACGGGCTGGGCATCCCCGGACACCTGCCCCCCGGTTGCTGTGAGCTTGCAGGTAACAGAGACGTCTGCCAGCAGGTGACCTCAGGGCTTCACCTACCCTCTGGAGCAGGGCAAAGGGCTGGTATATGGGGGATGGGGGTCCCACCCATGTGCGGTAGGAGCAGCGTGGCCTGGGGCCAGGGAGCCCCCGCAGCGTGCTGGGTGGCACGTTGGTCCTGCCGCCGCAGCGCTGGTAATTAACAGCTGTGAAATTGCTGACGGACCGTTTAGTCACTCACATGAGTGCATCCCAGCACCCCCACCCCCCCTCCATCTGGCACTGATTAGCAGCCCAAAATAGAAAGCAAGTGGAGGAGAGACTCAAAACAAACCCAGGGCCCTTTGCAGGGGATGGGCAGCCCATGTGGCTTTGACGTCTGCCGAGAGGCCTGATCCCCCTGTTCCCGGACCCAGCCTGCGGCTGGAAATCAGGGGTCATGGAGTCCGGATACAGGATGCAGCTGTCTTAGCAGGGGGGACACTCACCGTGCACCTTGGGCACCTTGGCTTTCAGGTGTCGCTCACACTTGGCCTTGGCTTTTAGCAGCAGGAAGATCTGCTCCTCCTTGGTGATGACATCGTCCGCATCCACCTGCGAGGAGAGAGGCACAAGGCATCAGTTCTGGCTGCTGGCAACGCGGCAGGTGCAACAGGCCGGTACTCAGCACGTCCCGGCAGGCCGTCAGAAGATCTCCAATGCCTGGGCTGGCTTTGCTGGGTTTGGAGACACTGTGCCAGAAGCTCTGAGGCATTGCATTTAAGGACAAAATATTGCACAGCACAAAAATTTAATAGGCAGAGGTTTTTTTTGGTTTGGTCCTTCGCATAGACTTATAGATGATGAGGGTTGAAGGGACCTCGGGAGGTCACATCTAGTCCAACCCCCTGCTCCAAGCAGGACCAGCCCCAACAACATCATCCCAGCCAAAGTTTTGTTGAGCCGAGTCCTCAAAATCCCCAAGGATGGAGAGTCCACAACACAGAATCATAGAAAAGTATCAATGAGGGTTGAAGGCAGCTCAGGAGGTCACATCTAGTCCAGCCCCCTGCTCCAAGCAGGACTGTCCCCAGTCTTTCTAGGTAACCCATTCCAGTGCTTCACCACCCTCCTAGTGAGAAAGTTTTTCCTAATATCCTACCTCAACTTCCCTTACTACAGCTTGAGCCCATTGCTCCTTGTCCTGCCATCTGCCCCCACTGAGACCAGTCCAGCTCCATCCTCTTTGCAGCCCCCCTGCAGGGAGGTGAAGGCTGCTATTCAGTCCCCCTCGGTCGTCTCTTCTGCAGACTAAATTAGCCCAGTTCCCCCAGCCTCTCCTCACAAGCCATGTGCCATAAGTCATATGGGATCAGATGGCAAAAAATGCCCAATACCGGGATCATTCAATGAAGTGTAACGCTGCAGTCCCCTTTCAACTGGACTCTTCCAATTTGGATAATCGTCTCCTACTGTGACAGAGTTGCCCATCCAAGCCCGCTGTCCCCTTATCAGGTGCTTTTGACCTAGTCCATGCCCAAGGGACAATTTAAGAGGGACCTGAAGATGGAGAGCTGGTTGGAAAGGAAGTGTCCATACTCAAGGATCTCCCTGCATCCCCATACGCTTTGGCTGCTTTCCGAATTGCCTGTTGCACATGACACAAGACTCAGATTTTTGCTGCCTTCATTAGGATAGTTACTGTGCATCTGGCTACACCAGGCTGCATCATTGCAGCCCTTATTCAGTGGCACTTGCTGAGCTACTCAACACGCAGCAATGAAGGGGCTTCCTTCGGTCCCCAGACTGCAAGGCCAGAAGAGATGGGCTTGCTTCTGCACAATTGCAGCAGCTGATTCCTCCATGCAGCCCTGGAGGAGAGTTGCTTTTGCAGGGGGAGAGCCAGGCTCAATTGAAAGATGGTCAGGGACTGGGAACTTGCCACATCCCCAGGGAATGGTGCTGGGGAAGAACCACCTGCCTCGTCCCAGACCCTCGCCCGGTGTGTGCAGGGTGGTGCCCACCTGTACCTCACTCCTTTGCAAGGCAGGGCTCTCACAGTCTCTTCTAAAGGACTTGGGAAACAGTTATGAAGTACAGATAAGGAAACTGAGGCATGCAGACATTGGGTGAAGTGGGTTCAAGTTTCATCTCCGCCACAGATTTCCTCGGAGCTCTTGGGCAAGTCACTTTGCCCCCCCCATGACCCCCACTGCTCACTGGGACAATGAAGGGAGCCAATAGCACTGCCTGAGCTTATGGGGGGCACACAGCATGATGATGATGAATCCATTAAATATTACCGGGTGCTCAGCTGTGGTGGGGAGCAAGGGCCAGATAAGCAGCTTAGGGTCTTTAGAAGATCCCATGCTCAAGCAGTAGAGGGGCTAGGATATGTGGTTGAGCCATTTCACCCCCAGGATGCCAGCGTCCATAGCAGGCAGGGGTGCAGCTATTACATCTCGTTAAGCAGTGCTTGAGGGGAGCATGATGTGTCCCCCACCGTAGAAGCACGGAAAAATATACCACCGGACAACAGCTGGGCAGTGATACCAGCCCTACCGCTCCGGACACTCCCCCCCCAAAATCCCAGTGGGGTTAAAAATAAGACAGAGCCCTACCCCACCAATGCAAACAACTGGCCAAGGCTGCTTCCTTCGGTCGGCCCTTCTCCACATGGCGCTGGCCTCCATCCACATCCTCCCTAAATCCCCGAGCAAACACGGACGGCAGGGAGTCACGCTGGCCAGCCCCGGAGCTGCTGCCACCTGCCCCTGAAGCCTGGAGGGCTTGGGAAGCGACTGGGTTATACCTGCGACAGCCATGGGGAGCAAAGGGCTTTGCTGCCCGGTGCTTGGCTGCTGTCAAGGTCCCCAGGTGAAGCGGGGAGGCTCAGGGCCTTGCTCTTGCCCACCCGCCTTGGGGGGCATCTGCATCCTCCTGACTGGGGGGGATCTGGGTGCATTACAGCAGCATCGAAAGATAAAAGCACAGTGAAGCCTGACCAAAGGACTGAGCGGGCTGAGAAACTCCCGAGACAACACAGTGCCCAGGGCTGCGTCCCTTTGCTGCAGACCAGCCGAGGGGTCAGGGGGGTACTTCTTTGCACCCCTTTCACGTGGCATATCTATTCCAGCTGCATGGGGCTGTCTCCAGGACTTTGGACCCTGCCTAGCAGCAGGGGACTCTGGCCTGGGTCATAGCATTTGGATGATGGTAGCACCTAGACAAGGGATGCACGTGCCTGCTAGGTCTGAAGATGAAATTAGGCACATCTGAGGTCAGATGCAGATGCTCCCCCTGCACCGGCATCCGATGCAGGCTTTAAAGTCGTTAAAGCCTTTCCAGATGCAGGGTGGAGGTAGACGGGGCTATTAAATGTACATCCCAGGCAGGGAAGGGAGGCAAGCCGCAAAGGGACCTCACTTTACATCTCGGATTTGAGCAAGTCCTGGGGCTTCTCTCTGCAGGCACTTAGGGAAGCAATGAGAGGTTGGATTTGAAGCGAACAGACCTGAATTAACCCCCCGCTTCTTCCTCCCTGTCGTGCAAACACTGTTATTCAGAACGAATGTGGCTTTGATGCGATTCCCTCTGGAAGTGAAGTAAGTCGACTTGGATGGCAGCCCCTTGAATTCTGAATGAGGGTGTCTATCTGGCAGGGGAATGCAGTTTTTTTAGCCCCTTTGAAAAGTTAGCTCAGATGAACATCCCCAGGAACAAGACTTTAGGTGCTCTGGAGGAGAGAGGGGAGGGAGAGAAGGAAGGGGAGGTTGGAAGGCAGCAGGAGTGAGTTTTTCAAGCCTTAAAAAAAAATAAAAATTAAAAAAACCCATAAAAATCCTTCCTCAGAAGCAGGGAAGCTTTCAAAACCACCGGCATACTAATGCAGAATAAAGTCATCTCCCGCCAGATGTTTGGCTGAGCTGCATTTAAAGCAACACGGAGCCTCCCAGCCCTCTCATAAAGACTGCTGGGCCAAATCCTGCTCTAATTTACACATGTGCAGACTGCGAGCAAGGTCAGCAAGGCACCGACACCTGGAAGATGGGGCAGAATCCAGCCCCAGGTCTTCATTAAAACGCTCACTTGATCCGTGTGGGTTCTTAATATCGCTTTAATTGTCGCTTACACCCGGGTGGGAAAATGCTTACAGCTCATTTGCTTCCTGCTTGCTAAGGCAGTTGCTTGTTTTGCAGGCCTCCATTTATTATTTTATTGGTGGGGCTTAGTGTCTTAGAGACCCCCCTGGAGATCAGACTCCCGCTGTGCTAGGCGACGCTCACACACACGTGCAGTCAGGCACAGTCTTGGTCTAGAAGAAGTTATGAGCCACCCGAAAACATCAGCTCTGTACTCCAGATGGGGAACTTGAGCCCAGAAGAGTCAAGTGATGTGCCCAAGGCCAGACAGGAAGGCTGTGGCAGCACTGAACTGACCCCAAATACTCTGCTTCCTAGTTACTGCCCCAAATGTCCACAAGCCTTTCAAAAAAAAAAAAAAAATCATGGGATTGATTTATAAATATTGGGGATATATTCTGGATTTATCAGACATGTTCTCTGGGCTTGAGCCCATGCTGTGCATTTGGGGCACGCTTTCCAGCTTTTCTCCATCACCACAAGGACTAGAAAGGGACTGTTTTTTTTTTTTCAGAATGAAAGACAAGAGTCTGATGCAAATCCTGCGACCCCCAGAGCTGGGGCTTTATGGAAGTCCCTACTCCTGTGACACTCAGGAGAAGATCAGTGGCAGCAATAGTGCCACAATATGGTGCTTTCCATACACAAGCAGTAAAACCCTCTCCATCTGCAGAATGAAATGCAACTGCTCCCATTCATTCGCTGTTTGGTTCTCATTGTCCCTCTTCAGTCTCCTGCCCTGAGACAATACGGATGCAACGGTATTTCCCACATTGCTCTAGAAGACCAAAATAAAGCAGCAGACCCATGTCCACTGCAACATGGGCGTATTTGCAGCCACCGATACTGGGTTTTGCCACGCTTCCTTCTTCACAAGCAAGCCTCAGTTTTGGTCCCAAACTATTTGCAAAAGGCTCCCAGCTAAAGAGGTTAGCAAACACTTAGGCCGACTTTTTTGCACATCTGACACCTCTGGACACCACGATACTCAATCAGTGCTTCTCTTTCCAGAGGTGCTGGCATTTGGGCTGTTAATGACTGGGGTTAACCTTTGCAAGGCGGTCGCTGATTCTGGCGGTCTTCCATGTCGGTTGCCTGATAGGAACAGAGCTGGGCACAGTTCCCAGAGGGGCTCATCCCTGCCCCATTGCGAGTTGATGGGCACCACAGGCATTTGACACCTCCAAACAACAGGTTTCAAGCAGGCCGTGGAGGGTGCCCCAAATCCGAAGCCCCACTTGAGACTTTGCAGGATGGTCCAATGCCAAACTCCCAAGGAGGGCAGTTTGATGGCTCTGTGCTTCAGTTCTCAGGCAGGGGGAGATTCCAAAACGCAGGGGATGCATCGTCACATGAGTAATGCACTTTAGTTAATGCACATTAAATCTAGTACCTCCTAGGAAAATGCACATTTGCCTGTCTTAATGAGCATTAGCTAAAGAGCACAGGGTGTGTCTACACATGCATTAAAAG